CGGGCTGTTTTGTTGTATGACTGTGAGACTTGGCCTATTCGAGCAGCGGACCTGAGACGTCTTCAGGTGTTCGACAATCGTTGTCTCAGAACCATAGCTCGTGTGGGTTGGTGTCAGCGAATCCGTAACGAGGCAGTTAGAAAGCGTGTTTTCGGTTGTGTAACGGGTACTTCCATTGAAGAATGTGTCCAGCACCAGAAGCTGCGTTGGTTGGGACATGTTTTACGCATGCCGAACCATCGTTTGCCGAAGAGAGTACTGTTTTCCATGCGCAATTTGGCGTGGCGTAAACAGAGAGGTGGCCAACCCATGACCTGGAAGAGGAGTATGAAGGAGATGACGAAACGCTTGAGTGCTGTCGGTTCGCCTTCCAATGATGATGATGATGATGATGACTCTGTTCCTTAGGTCCATTAGCTGAAATTTTTAATGACAGCTTAAGCCACAACTCATGTGCTCCTTGGGGCGTTTGGTGTAGCACCATTATCCAAGTTTTCTTTATATGAACAGTTGATCCATCCAGCAGCGACATTTACCAAACACGGTCATAAAACGAAGCATGTATGAGACAACACTATCTCAGTCTATCAATGCTCGACGTTGACTAGGCTCATTCAATGATTGCACCGCATTTCTTCACTTATTCTTAACCTAAAACTAACTACAGTCTACCCTAACCATTATTACCATCATCGTTCAAAGCAGTACGCTAGTTATACATACTGGCACTCTACTGCCATAAGTCTGCCCTCAAATTGTCACCTGCCATACTCCCGTTCCTTCGACTCCCCGTCAGAATCAACTTCAGTAAGTTTTACTTCAAATTCTCAATCTACGCCAGTTGAGTAATAGCAGTCACCGCACAACAGGTCATGATGGTAGAGGACGGCTACGCTTCATAAAGTAAGCAGGAGAGATACAAACATGTCTGTTTCAATAAGGTCCTAAAATGGAAAGAGAACAAAGAGTGGGAGTGAGAACGGATAATATACAGCTAGCCTATCACTAATTTTTGAAGTGCCTATACCCCCAACACTCAGTCAAACAATCTAGATATAAACTGACAGCAGGAACGCCACTGACACCGGTTAGCCGCCACATTTTTCACTGTCTCAGGGAGGGTCACGTGAACTCTGTCCTGAAAGGGGAAGGGCATCAACCACGCCCAAATGTTTCGTAAAGTGATACGTTCTCTCCTACCATTTCAAATTCTTTACGTCTCTACGTTTCCGAATCAGGCGCCGAAAACTGGGCTCGTCTCGGCGGGCGGTAAGTGGCCATTCCAGTTTACCTTGCAATGTTGGATGTAATCACTGAACTGCTTCGATATCGAAGAATGTAAGCCGATAAGCACCATGTGTAGGTTTCTATGTTACTACATTACCGTTGGGGTTGATCTGACTGTGTGTTCGTTTGAGCTAAATTCTTCGAAGTTCCCTTACTTATACTCGCCGATACCATGAGAATCAGCGGAACCATCGTTTCTGTTTCCAGTGAATTGGTTATCGCACGGGAAATCGTTACGTCAACACGGCGTGGATGAGTCGGAGGTCCTTTTCCTTAGACGGAAATATTTCTTCTCCGATCAGAACGTGGACACTAGGGATCCAGTCCAACTGAATCTGTTGTACATTCAGGTTTGTGTGTTCGTCTTGCTCATTATTTGTTTTTTTCGTACTTTCCCTAGGAAATGCACATACACCGCTTAATATTGTTCTCATAGATATATATATTTTTACACCGGAATGGTACAATATGCTGGTTGTACTGTATGGGTTCCCTCGCACTTATTTTGGGACGGGTGAGAGATCAATCACATTGTGGTTCGATGGCCCTACCTTCCCTAGTTTCCTTTATTCACACCAATGCCAAACACATCAAACTGCCTTCTTTATCAATCGCACCCCGAATGTCAGTGCTGTCAGTTGTCGGTGCTCCTGTTGGTGTTTTCCCAAGGGGAAATCAGGTCCTGACCGTTCAATGTCAATATTATTTCAGCAAAACAGCGATGCTCCCATTTTCACTCAGCCTCCTATGAATGGATAAACAGTCCGAGATAGCGCATCGCGTTCAGGGGTTTTTCCGTTGGTAGTGAAAGCCGTTATTTCACACCATTCTGGCCGTCCGGTTTACTGTTCGCCTTCAGAGTTGCCCTAAATTTCGCATTATACAGCACCACAAGCTGTCTCGGCTTGCTCTATTATTGCACGTGTAACAAAACGGTGTTATTCTCACTCTAATTCTTATCCAGATTATCCTATTTAGTGTTTGCAGGAACAACATGCAATATCCTAGCGCCGGGCTCTGATTTTTCATCTTGTCCACAATGGGGCTTTTTAGAAATTTTTTTACGGCTGTATGTCTGTCAAGCCTTAGTGTTCGGATATTTTTGTCGGGGATGATGGCGATGATGTCCGTGGTGCTTGAAATGATGGCTAAGCGTTTCCACTGTATCATGTCGAATGTCAGTTTGGCGAATGCTAATGGGGCAGTCCGCATAAAGTTATCGGATGAAGCCAGTTGATGTTGCATCAACTTTTGCATGCAGATGGCCAAGTCTGTTTCGACCGCTTAGAAGTCTGGCTTTGGCAAAATACCGACTATTATATTTCTCCTGACGCACTTTATAACTGCATCTAAATGTCATAACTAAAAGATCGTATTTTTTTACTGGACTAGGACGAAGCCTTCTTATCTTAGGTGTGACGGTTTCCTGTTTATGGTACTTGGCCATCAATACACCGTGCAGTGGCAGATTGGTTCAGACTGATAAACAGACAAATGTCAAAACGCACTTTCTAAGCTTAGTTCGACCTTACCCAGAGTGAAAACCAAACGAGCGCAGTTTTGAAGTCAGTTGCACCTTAGGAACGGTCTCGGTTGATTACTGTTACAAAGCTGTTGCACTCGCTAATGAAGTGAAAAAAATCGTCTGGCTGTAACACCCTTTCAGTGCTTACTGCTACGCTTTACAAAGCTGTTGCACTCGCTAATGAAGTGAAAAAAATCGTCTGGCTGTAACACCCTTTCAGTGCTTAGCTGCTACGCTACCCGAAGGAAGCGTGGAGGCTGAGTCACTGCCCTGTTGCTCAAGCCTAGATAAGAGCAATCTAGTTGCCTGGTCTGGGTTCGAACCACGGGCTATCCGGTTAGAAAGTTCGCTGCAACTACTGAGCTGTATCTAGCTGCTACATCTGTTGTATTATTTCAGTCAGGAAGTTTGCCTCCTTTTTGGTCAACTCCTTGGTTTATGTAAGCTCATTTTACACTGCCAGTCTACCAACGCAAGAATAGTTCTTAGAGCTAAAATACCTGAAAATCGTTAGTAAAATAGCGGAAAAACAGTTGAGCTGGAGAGATTTCGGTGACAAGACGTAATCGAAATGCGTCATGCAATGAGTTTTGAGTTACCACTATACCGAGCAGTGTAGAGGATCACACGGTTTTAGTACTTGGAATGGATGTGGCGTGTGATAAAATAGAAAAAAATTTGTTGGTTATCCAATTAGACCTCTGCGTAAAATGCTCGCCGATTGCCAAACCGAGAGACTGCTTAGGATTCGAGACATGAGTCAAGCACCTAATCATAACGCGGTAACCATTCTCAAGAAAAAAGAGTAGCAGTAAACTCAACTGCGGAAGAGACATGGAATAATTAACTTACGAATGAGATCTGGGGGAATGGGCAACGTACTGTCTGACAGCACCAAGCAAATGTCATCAGATTTTGTCTGCTGGATAACCAACTCTGGCAATTAGAAGACAGCCATCGTCGACCACAAGCAACAGTAAGCTATGGGCCAGATCTTGAGTCCAGTAACCAGATTTCAGGGAAACAATCAATACATTGTTGGTGCCTTCCACCAATAACCAGAAGGGACTGTCGTGTGATCAATTAGTAAGTTCGTTTGTGTTGGTGTGTGATCCTCTGAATCGCGCAGAACTTACACGAGTTGAGGGAATCAGGAAACGACAAGTCATGGATGGAAAACGGTGAAAGGATAATTTTTGTGGGTTGTTAGCTGTAAAGACTTTTGGCTTTCCGAACATGTAAATCTGGTTTAGTTGGTAAAATAGTAATATAGGAGATTCAGTAGTCATTGCTGATTTTAACCATTGACCAGAAGCCTCGAGTAACACGACGAAGGGCATTTTTTGTTCATGTTTTAATATTGTTTTTGAGTTTTGGAGAAGCCAAACGCACAAGGTGGCCGGTGGCGACTGGCGATAAGCTAACTGATAAGTATCTTCAGGCACCTTGATAACACTGACTTCGAACAAGTTCAACAACAAGTGCGCGAGCACCAGGTCAATATTTCAGCATTCCTTTCTTAGCACTTTAGTTATCTTGCTTTCCCTCCAATAGTCAGTTGTTTTACCGTAGGTGAAACACCGATTGGACGGAGCTGTATAAGGTTTGTTGAAGACGGCAGCTGACAGTTTGAGGAATGTTACTACTAAAAGGTCACAACCACGTGCCTTGTTGCCTTTCAGGTTGAATTTTCCCGCACCGTGTATGTTGTGAAGGCCCTCAACGGAAAAACCCTCACTCGTCTTGTAGAAACATCCAGTAGTGTGTATGGTTCTGCAACATCAGCAAATCCGTGTTTGGGGTTGTAGAAACCAATGCGATGTGGACAAAACCATTGCCATATAACTGCTGGACATCTCCCCATATCGCGACAATTCATACTGCTCAAACAATGGGTTTTGTCAGACTCGTTGGTCGCCTGACTTACGGGTCTCACCCGGGCGCCGTCTTCGTTTCTTAAGGTCTCATAGTCTCGGGTTCTTTAGATGGTTTCTGCTCACTCGGTTGTTCCCCTAAAACGATTCTCATTTCTTTTGGACCGAATTTTCATCACTTTTCGTTTCCGCCTGGAAAGGTGTTGCTAATATTCCATTTATTTTCAGTGAAAATCTGAAATTTCCCCGAACCTCCTCTTTCCATTCTATTCTGTTGCCGTTATGATCTCTAAATGATCCACCTCATCTCAGAGCCTTTTAAAAGCTCACCCAAGTGACAAACTTCCGCCAAGTTTGATTCATATATCCTACAGGCATTCGAATCGGTTCATGGGTCTTTCCAGTCGTTTTGGATGCACCCCTAAACGAAACAGGCTTGTAATCAACTTAGACCCAAAAATTGGAAAACCTCTTTTTCAAACCTCCTCTCGAAGTAGCGTTATCGGAGTATTCGATCGCGAGTGTCCAAAATCTCGTCACCAAATTCTCTCTAAATTAGCCCAGCGGTTTAATCTGACAAGTCAGGTTCGCATATCTCCAATCTGATCATCTGCTGTGAAATGGAAATTTTAAACCAGAAACACAGTTTTTACTGTTGTACTGTCGCCATGGTTTTTTGTGTGATAGTACTCTTATCGGACAATTCATTATCTGCCTATAGAATAAAATAAAACACGCAAGTTGAATAGGCTTATACTGTAAGGCCGGGAAATACCGTAACTGTTCAAAGCTTGTTGTAAATCATCACCAGGGCCCATCTCACGAATTTCGAAGTGGATCCGAAATTTTTGGATAGAAATTGGGCACTGCTGGTTATCCGGTCAGCACTATTTCGTTAATTAGGGAGAGGCAGTTGACACTCAGCATATCGTGAAAGATGTTTGTCACTACACCTATAGAATGCTAATATTTGAGGAGTTCCCGCCAACTGAAAAAATCGGGAAGTTTCAAAGGTATCTCGAACACCCGGAGCGCTTGTTGTCGGGCTTATTGTTTTCTCTCTGGCTTGGGGCATGCTTCTTGAAACTCACTGCACACCTACACACATTAAATGGTCTGAAAAATTGAATTTCAAATCTTTTTTTTTCAACACGCGAGAGAAGTATAGAACCCGTAGGGTTTCTCTCTGCGGCTGTTCACCATAAATTTTCTACCACCAGCCAACACCAACTGCCAATAGGGTAGTAAGGGATGATTCCCTAATCTAAAACCTGCATTTGTACCTGGAATTGGTTTTTATTGGGTATCTTGTGGTGCGTTGATCACCGAAATTTTTTTGTCAGTGGAGTGGAATAAGTGTTACTGGTTCTACTAACGTGCTTACGTACGTGGAAGCTGCCACAAACTGGCATGTTTCAGACCGTCACAACATATCCATTCACACATGCGTGCAATCTAGACGTTGGTGCCAACCGAGGAGCGCCATCAGACTACGGGATCGTCTGTCACCTGGGATGTTGAACGATAGCTGAAATCGTTGAACCTCGTATACCAGCTGGTAGCGTGCATTGTAAATAAACGAATGAGGTATAACAAGTATCTCAGCGATGAGTGTTTAAGGCAGACGTTTTGTGAACCGATACCTGATTATTTGCAGATGTTTTGTGATAATACCACCTTCTCGAATAGCTTGCCTCATTCCCAACGAAGCCTTCATGTTGACTTACGGGAGTAGTTGTCAAATGAAGGCTTGTACATGCATGTACTTGTTTCCAACGTGTAAACTAGCGAAAAGACTAGTCCAGCTTTCGTCTGTTCTCATCGGCTTTAGACGGTGAACCATTACAACACACGGATATGTACAATCAATGTAACAAGTGAAAGCTGTCAATTGGCGGACCAATACAGAATGCTGTCAGGCGGTCATCTAACAACAGAAGTATCGAATAGCACAGTACAACCAATAATGCCTTATAAGCGGTATAGTCACTAGTATTTCTCAGTTTTAAACCTGCTTCTGTCTTATATTCATCGGTCTAGAAAGCTAGTTGCCAACGTTTTTGCTGTTTTTAGTGCAGATGATTTGATCACAACAGCCTCAACTACACAGGCTCAATATCGGCTCATAAAAAACGTGATGCGATTCAGAAAAAAATTCTCTAATTACTCCCAACAGGTAGCTTTCAATGTTAGCACTGTTTGATCCCAGCTCATCTTTGTTTCATTTCACAGCTTAAAGAAGCGATTTTGAATGGTACGCATCCGATTTCTCTAGAACAATCCATCAAATTGGCTGCACTTCAGTGCCAGTCCGAGATAGGCGTCTACACTCCGGAAAAAGCAAAACATCATTTGATCGAGTGAGTGTATATCGGTATGAGATCACTGTTATTACCACTCACGACACGGCAACCGTGTGGATTTATCGTATGAGGATCTCGTTCTCCGAATTTCGCACGCAGATTTGTCATCTGTTTAGTCTTATACCACCAACAGGTAGGATAGCAATTGACAAGTAGTCTTCTTGGCGGACCCGGCGCTATTTTTGTTTCCATCTAGGGAGACCATCCCTTAGACGGATCTTTTCTTAGTTACCTCTTTGAAGCATATTTTATTAGTATCTTGCTCCAAAAGAAACCTGAAGTGATTTCCACTAACACGGACAAGAGCCCTTATGTTGAGGTCTTGCAACTTCCAACTGCATGTCGATCAGATGACCCTTCCCTGACTGGGACTTGTTAACGGAATGTGGAGGCCTTGATCAATCGCAGCGGAATCCGTTTGATGCCCCAGGATTTTCTCCCTTCCGTCCAATTCTGTGTTCTATGAAGGTGCGCAAAAATTGCGCGTTCTGCCGTATAATAGTATAATCGTCTTACGATATATGACCCGCAACGTGGAGCACCCCTCCGAAGAGCATCTCTTATTGGGTAGCTTTTCATGTGCTGATAGACTTGCCAACTGCACCCAGGGGACACCAGCAAATATGGTGCAGCTCCTGGGCTTCTATTGTTCAACAGGGTGTTTCAAGCAACGTTAACGTGTTTACTTCGGATGGATGGGATCAGGTGACATCACACAACTAGGTACATACTCTGCTAGATGACTTAACTGAATCAGGGTAAAAAGCTGACCTTCACTTCAAATGTGACTGTAGTGTAGTTGCCAAGTTTGAGTTCCCAGGTTAGTTGGTCAGACTAGTGGAGTGTGCCTGTGATCTCCCAGTGGCTTTTGGTTACAGATGCTCAAAAAGAGACAACCCCACCCAGGGGCTTGGACGAACAACATAGTCGATGATGTTTGTTCCTCGGATTACAGTGTGTGGTATCGCCTTCCAACTGCACGACACTTGTTTCGCTGACGAACTACGCTGATACTTGGCAAAAATTGCTGTCGAAATTTCTGTGACTTGTGTTGACATGTTCTGAATGGCGTAGCCGATAGGATGCCAACTTCGAATTTGGAAAGTCCACCTCGCTGCTGCATTTGTCTCAGAAAGGATAGACGTGCAATATATGTTTTCGTTTGTTGAGAATTACTTTTCTACTGCTGCACTCGTCTATTGTGTTTAAAACAGGTTGAATTCATTGCAAACACCCCGTAAAAATGCGTTTCAAGCTTCACCAGTTTCCAGCTGTTTGATATTTCATTGGCACCCATACTAAGACGGGATTTCCAACGTTCTGCACTTTTATGTAGCGAACAGAGGTGAGCCTCCAGAATGACATCCACGTAATTCATAAAAAATATTAAGCACAAGGCTTCTTGTTCATCTGATCCTAGTTTTGTTAGTTCTTCTCAGTCGTAACGCGTGCAATCTCTCTTTATTCCTGGTAATACCTCAATTACTTGCCTACTGCTTTCATCAACTGAATCACATCGTTTTCATGAGACAACAATATGTTAGCTGTAAATGATTATGCTTGAATGCAATGTTCTCAAGAAGAACCAGATCGTACATTCGTTAGAAGGATTTGGAACTTTCTTCGAAATGAAGTCTGTCGGGGTCTGAGTCGAATTCAAGCCTATCTTTTGAGCAACAGTCAGCTGTGGAGTCGCAGCCGCAGTGGCACCATTCATGAAAGTTACTCATCTCCAGAATGATCAGAATGCATTGCAGTAAATATGCCTGGGAATTATGTCCGAGTAAGACGCCATTGACAAGGCCAATCCAGCATTTTGTACCAGTCTTACCTAATACGGGCCCAGCACACGACGGTAGACAAACTTCAGCGTTTTGGATAGTTGTCTGCGTGCTCGCCAGTTGGCTTGGATACATAGGTTTCAAAGCTACTTGCGGAAAGAACCACTTGAATTCCAACCACTAAGCACTCAACTTGACAATCCCCCTTTTCACTCACCTGTATTTTCTCATGGTCTGTCACCCATGGACTCTTCACAGCGAGGATTTGGAATAAAAACGAAGTGACCACCTATGAAAGGCTCCCTTTTCGACGCTGCACTACTGTATGTGTCACTAGGCAGCGGTAAGTTGGCTTTGGAGGAAACGACATTCGGGAATCACAAACAAATTCCTGGATAAATGCGGTACTTTTCATTTAACACGAGTTCACACCTAACACTGTCGAAATCAGCTCACGAGACCAGCGCTGGATTTCCCAAGCTGGATCATAATAAAGAAACCTGTCCTAGCAGCAGACCGGTGAAATCTCTTACTGTTTGTCACAATACACTTTCTAAACTCTCCGTTCACAGCCTAAGAGAACATCTACCAAGTGAATATAGAAAAGTCAAGGGCGTGGAGAAACGCATTCAAGAGGTAGGTTTACCCAAGTTTCAGTTCTGGGTTGTATATGACTTAAGAAGTCTTTCGTAGTTATCTCATTGTCTTTTGAGGTTTTGGTACCCTTCCATCATGGCTTGAAAAACAAACTTTGCGAAGAAACTTAGAGGCCAGAGCAGGTCCGTATCACTGTATAAACGTCTTACACCTCTCATAAGGGTGCTGAAAACTCGTCGACAGCTCACAACTGGTTTCGCGCTTCTTGGGGCTCATCATGTAGGCGCAGTCCCTGAATTTCCCTCAGCCTTATATCACACTTGAACCCACATTGCATGAAGTTAATGAAATGCAACCATTTACACACCAATTTGGTTTTCACGGGAGACTTAACTGAACTTCTTGTTTACAATGTCGTTCAGTTGAACGTAGGGCATCAGACCGCCTCATGTTTCAGTTGGTAAGATGCGCAATATATTGTACAGATGTAACATCATGAACGGAAAGTTTAACTGAGTCTCCCGTGATAACCAAGTTGTAATGCAAATGAGTGTGTTTTGCCAGGTCCATATCACGTTCCGACGAACGCTCAGGTTTAGTAGCCGCGGGGTCCTACGTAGAAATCCATGTGTTCCAGCAACGCAACCATATACTTCGTCTGGTCCAAATACCTTATTTCTTGGTACACAAGCACATTAGCCGCCCCGATCTAACAACCAGATATTCGTTTCACTGCTAGTTATTTATCCCAATAGGGAAATTTTATCCCTCTGTTCGAGAGTCCTATTTCAGCAAATATTTCCGCAAATCTTTTTGCCCCTTTTATACCATTACTTGTTAAACAATGAGCGTTAACTGTATGTTATCTACTTTCTCGTCCGTCCTAAGTGGTGGTTTTTCTCATCCTGTGCATCTTTTGCTTTCCTGAGGATCCCATAATTTATGGGTCTGGTTTTTATTCAGTAATATTGTGATCTGTTGGTTATCTGCCGGTCGCACATACTTGCCCGCTTCTGCTGAAACACAACTACTTGGTTGTGGAGGCAAAATAAATCCTTAAATCAATTCTCGACATCACTACTGCTCTTATACACAGGGTCAAGCTCAGACAATTCTAATTACTTTGAGGTTCGTTAATTTGACTCACCTCTGGTATCACTATTTCGCCCATAACGGGAACTATCATTAGTACAGGCCATTGAATGTCCACTCCGAAAGTGGACCAAACCCTTGACATTATTAGGCCATCGCTTAAATCATGATGGTTGTGTTCCAACTTTTTGAAGTATTTGCTACTTATAGGCTTGTGAACTAGGCCATGACGAAAAAAATCGTTCAGCTGTAACACCCTTCCAGTGCCTAGTTGCCATGCCACCCCAAGGTTGCAAGAGGGCTGGGATACTGCCAGGTCGCCCAAGCCTAGACAAGGGAAGTCGAGAGGCAGAGGTCGGGTTCGAACCACGGACCTTCCGATCAGTAAATTCGTGCACTAACCACTTGAGCCATCTCAAACCACGACGAAGACGACCGTATAGACAGGTTGTTCGTCTGCTGTGATCCCGATAGCAAATGACAAACCTTTCACCAACTCCATTCCATCTTTTTCAGGCTCACAAAAAGCTCCGGGATTTCGACGAAAGGGAGGCCCAGCTACAGTACATTCAACTATGTCGCTCGCTACCCACCTATGGTATAACATTTTTCCTGATCAAGGTATGCCATATGCACCATTGGTAGTTTTTTTGTATCGTCTTTTTCATTTCATTTTTAGTTGGGGTAAAACCGCTTATGTCCTGGGTGTGAGCCCAGATATACTGCAGTATCTGGCACGTGATTACCCCCTTGCACCTAGTAACCGCTATTTCGAGGCCGGTTTTCGTTCATCTGTTTAGCTCGACGACTTCCCCCAAATACTACAAGCTGAGTAATTGCGAAGTAATCCTTCTTGGAATGACTTCTTGGTGCTTTACGCGTATTTCCTATTGTGACGCTCATGTTATGAGCGCCCACGAGAGGAGTGGGCACTCTCTTGCTTCAAACGGTCAAAGTACAGGTTATGTTGAGGTATGTACAGACGAACCTTTTCAAACTAAGAGGTTACTTGAAAGCATAACCGAGGTTTATGCCTTCAAGTTCCAGCCTATCTGTACGAGGTCATTGCCATCATCGTTCATTTCGCTTTTAGCATGGTCCTCTTCTTTTTCCCCATTGTAGATGCATGGTTATCATCGCCTTAAACTATTCCATGCGTATTCTCCAGTGTTTTCACGCAGTATCCATCTCCGGTTTGCCATGTGAACTGTTTTCTTTAGTTTTATATTTACACTTGATCATTGGTATGTGATTCCGTTACGATGTTGGCAGACTAAGCTTATTTGCGCAAATGCGGCACACATAGTTGGATCGTGTGATTTGGTTTCTTTCTCCGCCCGTTCTGTTTTTGTCCAAATTTGATTGTTCTGCCTTCAAATGCTGTCTCACACAGGATGCACCGCAACGTACTCTGACGCATGACTGGTGCACCTTGTTAGGTCCTATTGACTTTGTTCTGCTCCGTCACTTAACAAAAATGCCGTCCGCCTTATACACCCTACCACTAGCTCACCGCTTGGCCTGACAGTTGCTGCCACTTTGAATCATCTATCTTCCTTCTGCCGTTTTACCGTTCGACCAACACCAGGAGTATTATTTGCCTCTCTTTCTGTATTGTTTTGTTTTCATAGGAGAAACTGAAAGGTCGGAACAAGTTGGTACCTCGACTATTTGGGGTGAGCAAGGAGAGTGTGATGAGGGTGGACGAGAATACAAAAGATATTTTGGAAACATGGCCACTCACCCGAATACGTAGATGGGCTGCTGGACCGAATTTGTTCACACTGGTATGTTTCGTACAGTACACTTTGTGTACGCAACAGTTAGTACGTTCATGTTGCGTTTCTGCATGCGAACATGTCATCACAGTGGTAGTTTACTATTCATACATTAATTCCCAGTAGAATTCTGCCTATAAGGACAAATTTTACTGGACGTTGTTTGCTTAACCAGTGTTCCAATGCTTCGCACATATGTTCTGTTTAGCGGCCATGTACATTAGGTCGACTAGGCGTGCAGCAGCGGAGATTCGTACTTTCGAAACCGGTGTCTGATTCACTAAAGAGATCTCTGTGTCCGTGGCCACCTTCACATAATACAGTCTTCCTACTGTTAACAGCTTCATTAGCCATGAACGGTTACCGGTAGTTTATGATTCGAAAATCATGTATGTCACTCCCGTTTGAGCGGATGAACTTCTAACGAGGTTGTTATATCTGAAAGTTGTAGCCTTTGGAGGCCTTCCATCCTAACAAAGAGTTATTAGGTACACACTGCAATCCTTTGGTTAGCAATTTCAGAAAGATGATAGTAGAACCACTGAGCTATCTAGGAATCACAATTCACCATCGTCGACAGCACATCAGTGTTCAACACTGAGGCCTAGCTACCGTACAACCACAATTTATTTGAAAGGCTTATTGTGAAGAAAAACAGTTGGTGGAGGGGGGACTTAGTGATAGTTTACCGCAATCATTCCGAGTTGCCTACATCTTCAGACACTCCTTCGGGCACTCTATATAGAAACTAAAAAATACAACGTCACCGACATCGATTGGTAGCCATATCTTGCAGCGTCTCCAAGCGTGCACGGGGAGGATTACGCGAACTCCATCCTGGAAAGCGAGTCGCACCGACAGCACCCAGGCTTATCATAATCGACTTGATTTCCCTATGTCAGGTCAAAGGTTGACCACCTCATGCCAATTTAAATTGTGTATGGAGAACTGCACTCTTTTCAGTAAATTATGATTTGGGATGCACAATACATGACCAAACCACCTCAACTTTTGGTGTTGGACACCAGGCCTGATACTCTTTTAATTCCTCTTGGGCTGGGATACGTTTTCTGTTGCATGTCTTCAGTTTCTTCAGTAGCTGGATCAGCCGTTTAACTCGTAATTTTTGTTCCAATTGGTCTCAGGACTTTGGTCAATATCATCCAGATGGAAATTACGCCATGCAAACGACTGAGGGTGAACAGATTGGTCAACTAATTTCTGGTTACATCGATATTATCTTACGCCGCCAAAAGGGTCGTCAAGCTGCCATGATGGATGGGGATGAGGAGAGTACAATTGTAGAGGAGAATGTCGAACCGTCTAGGTAAGCGCAAACGATAAAAGCGTGGATTGAAATTCTTCGTCATTTGCTTGATGCAAAAAAGAGCCTACTTAGTGGCGTATTTAATTAGTCGTACGCTTGTTAGGGTGTCAGATATGAATAGAATGTAGGAGGAATAGCATTATGTATTCCTCACTTTCGGAGGTTCACTTCTAATTCGTATGCAGACATTTTCATTTTCACTTCGAAAGCATGACAATGCCCTTATTTGCCATTCTAACCGGTTTCCTATGAAATGATTCAAGTCCCGAAGTGCGACCGCAAGGCGGACTCAACAAAGTTTTGATAAGTCATCTCGCATCTGACCGCCGAGAATGTGGATGATGCAATCTATGAAGGATGCCAGGCATTGCGGCCTGTGAATGTTGCCCAAGACAGTCTGATGCTTCGACCTTCTGGTATTCAGCTTGTTGTAAAGCTGATCTCGTTTTCCGTAAACTCAATCAATCCTATCTCCCTCGTTTATTTTAAGTGTATGGGTTTTACGTTGAATCCTTTCAGAATCGTTCTGATGATGCGTCTGGAACAGTTCCAACGTTTGGCGATGTGTTTTTAACATATACCAAAATCTGTCATGCTATCTTTATATGAATCGAGTATGTTTGAATCGTGCTACTTTGAGGATCCTGATGTGCATGCCCCCACAAAATACAATCCTCTCTTCCAGATATAGGAATAACCAGTACATTGCTTGCATGCAAACCTATTCATATCACATTTTAATACGTTAAAAGTGTTGTCAGGCCGTTTCGGAGCATACTTCACAACACTTTCGAATTAATGAGTTTCCACCTTCGAAGTGGTCCCGAGATGACAATGCAATTTCAGGGCGTTTCGGAATGCGTAAGGCATATGAAGTTATTAGGTTGCATGCATATTTAGAGGTTTTCCTTCCCACACCTTGCGCAATTTTTTACCAACTGCTGAACGGAAGCAAACGTTGGGCGTTCCGATCATTAGAACAATCAAAATTCTGACTGGTAAACTCGGTCTATCTAACAGTTGTTTTGTGCTTCAATGGAGTGCTTGGCCAGGACCATTTCAGCACACTGAACTGCTGTTAGGTATCCCCAAAACCCAGTATATTTAGCTATCTTGATATCGGCTTTCACACGCCTACAGGGTGTTTTCACGTAAATTCATTACTGTTTGCCCGCTCTGCTTATTTATTACCCATGATACCTGGTTGTTCCCTGATTATTCTATATACTAAACGGTTCATTATGTTTATGCTTTATCCATCTGAACGGAAGTGTAAATGTATCAGAACTACGTCTAGTTGGTCTTCAGATGTATGTTGCATTCCTCGGTATGGAAAGACAAAGTAGTTCAAAAACCATTGCTGGTGCTCTTTGATTCATTTAGAGCAAATGTGATTTCGAATGTTAATGGTACTCTATCCCGAGGGCATCGGATAAACGAGGCCAACGTCGCACATACTGGCAATCTGCACGCCATAAGTCGGCGTGGTGACTACTCTGAGGGTCATGTGGCTACACGTGGCCAAGCTGTGATCGCCCAGCACGTTGCTGGTGGCGACATTGGATCCGGTCGAATTGTCAATCGGAATGGTATCAGCAGTAGCGACATAGATGGGAATCCTCGTCAAGCGGTGAGTCTTTGAGGATTTACTGCTATTATCGCATCATCTTTCAACCAGCTAACCACATATACCCTTCAAATCAATCTAGCCCCTTCACCATTGCATAAACTCTCACCGGCCAGACATTTCGCCCCTGTGAGTTTTCGGGCAACCATTCAGCACCCTTATAGGTCACTTGACTTATGTAGTTGTGTCACGTGTTTTCTGAGTACATTTGAGTTTTATGCCCTTGATCTACCCCAAACAGAAACTGACAATAAGGGTACCTGTAAACAAGCATCTGTTAATGTGTCAACTAGCATCACTTGTATTATCCGGACGGTCCCATAAAATACGTCAGCAGCTCAGCCGTAGGCTTATTGTGGGCCCAATTACATAGTGGAGTAAGAGGATCTATGAATCTCGACATCCATAGTAAACCATGATTTGTTCACACAATAGAGCATGCTTTTATGTTCCTCCGTCACCACCCGTTATACCAATTAGTTGAAATATGGGTCCCTCGTAGGCGGGACATATCGACTGGCCCATAAGCTTGCTAAAGTTAGTTTTTTGCTTTCGGTTTCATCGGACTTATGTGTTTTCTGGGCAATGAAAGAAAAATGCCACACTGACGGTACTAGGACTTCGGAATAACGCAGAAGGCCTTACTAGTGTTTGTGCATCCAAACGTTTCAATTCTCTCCAATTGAGTACACTCGAGTCCTCAATGCATTGTTGGCCTCGAACTTTGTTAGGTATGTCGGTCTTTAATTTCGCATTTTGAGTAATTCACACACCGTTCTAATCGAATTGATCCAAGAGGTCTCGTAAGGGAGGTTATGATACCTACAATCCATCTTTCCATTATTGTGGTCCTCGATTTTCTGCTAAGAGACTTTTAAATGAAAACAAGCGAATAAAAGATGAGTGAACTTTCCATATGAAAAATCTTCACTTGAGGAGCCAGTCAATACGTGAATGATTAATGTGATTTTCATGAATAAAGGATCAGTGGCGCTATACCCTGTCTAAGTGCGAGTTAATCACATTGCTGATCAGCCTGTCATGGTCGAACGGTTAATTTCGGAACTGCTAGGCAAGGGGTATTGTTTTGGAAACCCTCGGGTTTCGTCAGATGCGCATACTAAAATTTTCCTCTTAACTTACCTACTGATGAATAGCCGATTGTGTTTGGTTCAACATTCTTGTGGTATAACGGATATCAAGCCCCAGGTTTGTTTTATGTTTGCTTAAATTTCGAGGGAGATCCTGCTTTCGCACCTGGTTTATCCATGCCTAGTGAGACCGACGTTTGAATCTGTTCTCTTTCAAGCGCAAAACTGCCTGATGTTGTCGAGAACACTTGGTCAGTTGACACTTGTGCACTCAGATATCTGAATGATTTAAACTGTTTTGGCTTCCCGTAACCCAGTCAGTGATGGGCTTCACGGAGTCTATGTGTTTGATGAGACACATTGGATTAGTTGATGATGGATATATCCTCCCTGAGCGAGATAAGGAAATTGTGCTTGACAGCGATACTGTCCGTGGGATTAACTCACTGATCCGTAGTTCAAAAAGATCCTTAACATGGTTTGAATCACAAGACCTTTGCTGATGCTCTTGTTAATATTACGACACTTTAATCATCTAAGTGATTGTGGATTTTCCTTAGGCCGAATGTAGGTTGCAAACAATATTGTTGCTGGGCTATCGATTTCAGACCTTTCCTAACTAGCTATTTGAATTCACCAACTTTCGTCAGTTTCATTTGTTTGCGTCTAGCGTTGTGCGTCAATTCAAAGTAGAATGATGCGAAACGTGATCTTTTGGAAGTTGCACTCACCTGTTCTTTGTTTGAACAGTCCTCCTAGCTGGATGAAACCACTCCGACGAATCCACAACAGAGTTTCCCCCCTCTTTAGATCTCTTCACTGATGTATGCCTTTAGCCGAGCATTTCAAGGGCTATCGATTTCAGACCTTTCCTAACTAGCTATTTGAATTCACCAACTTTCGTCAGTTTCATTTGTTTGCGTCTAGCGTTGTGCGTCAATTCAAAATAGAATGATGCGAAACGTGATCATTTTGAAAGTTCCACTCACCTGTTCTTTGTTTGAACAGTCCTCCTAGCTGGATGAAACCACTCCGACGAATCCACAACAGAGTTTACCCCCTCTTTAGATCTCTTCACCGATGTATGCCTTTAGCCGTACCAGCATTTCAAACCCGGCTATCTGAAATGCGCGGCAAGCGTGTTACCACTATCCACCAGCGCGCGCATCTGGACGTGTTCACTCACGAAAGATGTGTTTAATTTACTTAACCTCTCGAACGCCCAACCAGTAACTCTCGGTTAAGCAAACCGATTACGCCGATAGATTTGTCTGCTCGGCCGTGGTTATCCAGGTGTGTCCAACGTTTTATTTGTACATTCTTGGCACGGAAACAAAAACGTGACTTTAAAATAGTCCCCCAGGGTAGTCGATATTGGAGCACATGAAAGTTCCATTTGGTTGGGTCAGCTGGTATGAATTCCTTAGCATCTTCCCACCATTTCGTGATATCGATACCTGCCGATCTAAATTGTTTGTAATTACGTTTTTTCTACGGAGGCCTTACCTTCCACTCCCTTGGAACTAGAACCGAGTCAGTATCCAAATATACCATGAAGTTCGTCGCTGTTAGATTGCTCACCTGAGAGTCCTGCATGGACGTCGATCGGGATATGAGTCCCTCGAAATAGGCTCCGGATTCACTGCGGCCTGCTTGGTGGTTTCGGGAGCTCCTGGTTAGCGATTGCGTAGTTTGTTGAGGCGCGGCAACTACAAGGCTTATGACGGCTGTATAAACTGCCATTGGCATAGATAGCTGAGGTGCGTCTGACCTTGCGCAGAACGATTAAACTGTGGTTAGAGACGAGTGCAACGTGTCCGGAAACGTCACGACACGTAGTGAGCTGGAGAAAGTGAGTAGTTACAATGGGATTTCACTGAAAAAGACATCACGACATCAAAGCATCGAAATACGATGACAAATGATAAGCGCAAAATCTTCAGGGTCTGATGGTAAACTTATCAGTCTTGTACTTACGCTTATTAATCCATTTACACCCACTCTGAATCAGAGGAGTAAGATGTAGGATGTCGCAATAAAAATTGCTGATTCACACGTGTATGTAATCCCCTTAGAATCCGATGAACTATTTGCATGGGTTTTCTTTATCAGACTTTGGTGTGAAACCGGTTCGAACTCTTGGAATGTCCAGGTTTTCACCAAACCACTCATCCCATTGTTCTTTGGAAAATTTCCTTCTTTCGTCATCAACTGTTATTGCGGGTGCCCTCGGAAGTACGTAATAATTCAACGAATGTCGAGGTGGAAACTTATTCCAGGCGGAATTATGTGGCTTCCTGTTCCTGGTGCTCGGATTCGTTCCTTCATCACTTGGAAGATCCGTCTGTGCAACTTGTTTCGTGTCAATTTCATTTCGTTTAATCCAACTGATCATTCGTATCGTTTATCTGAAGATTTCCCACCTCCCTATGTTTGACTATGGAGTGTTGCTTGCAGTCTCCGATGCATTACGATTGAGTTATCAAAACATTCATTTTTCAAACTTGTACTTTCAGTTTCAGGTTATCGATTTGGACCAACCGAAAAGGGCGCTGCGTTCTCGCGTTGACCTTGGCCTCCGTACCATCAAAGAGGCGGCAGAAGAGTTGGACACACCCATTTATACTGACGACGATGCCATTCGGGGTGATGATGCGGTATGTATCCGAACGTCCTCACGTTTGATTAGTAGCGCTATCCAGGAGGTCATTTTGTAGTTCTCAATTGAAAGGTTTTATTTTCTCAAGTTGGCGTAGTACTCATTTTGTCAAGCATTTCAAATTTCATTTAGACCTCACCGGCCCTTGGGATCTGTTAAAATTTTCGGTCCACTTTTCGTGAGAACAGAGTAACACCAATGCACTGTGTCTGCGAGTCGCTTACAATGGTCATTATCTTGACTTGCTTATGCCAGGGTTTGGATCAGTTTAGTGATAACTTGACTACTATCTGTTCTCTAAATCAATAAACACAAAGTCTAAAGGAGTAACTGACCAGCGATATCATTTAATGTTTTTCCGACCGTATCTCTTTCGAACAACTACACAAAGTTTCCACTTGACCATGTTGACTCTGATTACATTTGATCGCATGACCGCACCACTGATTTACTCACACCGGAAGTAATCGCTGCGTTGCACTCGAATAGTAATCAGTAATCGTCCAGCCGCAACGCTCTCGGTGCTTAGCTGTCATTCCACCCGAAAGTAGCATAAAGGCTACCCAAGCTTAGATAGGAGCAGTCGTGGTGCAGGGGTTGGGTTCGAACCATGGGCCTCTGGTTAGTAAGCCGATGCCTTAACCACTTAACTACCACTGTCAGTGAGATGTTATTGAAATACGAAACTGTAGCCTTTTAAAATGAAACGGACGTGCTCCATGCTATATTTGAATGCAGTCGGACAATGCGCACTCTGAACACAAAATGGGAAGAGAATTTCATTCATCCCGGAATTCTCTTACGGAATCCGGATGTCGGTCGCTCTGTCAAACCGCTGACTGATCTTTTTTATTTTGCTCATTAAGCCTTTCAAAAATCTACGCTGACACTGGAGTTCCCTGAAGTTATATTGTAACACACCTAGGCACTGAACATCTAAAATGGTGTTTTCCTTAACGAGTTCGAAATGGTTTAGCGATTAAGAAGGTAACCTACCGACAGGACGGTCTATTTTTCGAACCTGACGCTGGTTTTCCGATTGCTCCTGTTTAGGCTTAGCAAATCTGGTGGCACCTTTGCTCTAGTTCCTCCTTCAAGTTGCACAGCAACAATATGCCGAAGGGGTACTTCGCTAAACTGTCATTAGTAGTGTATCCTCGTAAGAGCACAATCGGTACGATAGTTCCCTAACTATTTTCTTGCGATCCTTACGCCTTACTTATGTCCACTGTAAGACTGATTTGCGATGAAAGTCAAACAAATCACTTTTTAAGTGCAGAAGGGGTTGTGTTTCTTCTCATTACAAGATTTGTTTTGTGCACTCGGTAGATCCGCAGACGCATTTGACAGGAAACCGTGATGATGCTTCCATACCATACCGAAAAGACATGTTTTTCTCCCGTTCAATGTCTGTCTGTCTGGTACCGTAAGGTGCTTGTATGTGTGACAAACAGTCCTTTTACAATACACCTGAGCATTTCATCGACAAGGAACTATCCACTCAAATAAGATGGCGCCCTAGCCCACACATTGTATGTGGATGTTCAACAGTCATTCACGTTTACGACATGATCAACACTTTACCAGCTTGCTAGGCACACATACCAGTCCAATGTCGAACGAGGAAACCTGCGATCAGGTGTGACTGTGTTTTCTAGAAGCTATTCACGTGGCTTAGTGGTCGAGTTCCTATGCAGTAAATTTTGTCAGGATGGAATAGGTCGCTAAAAATCAGTTGTAACCGCGACTGGTGTTAAGGCTCACTATGTCGAATTCCTTAGATCAGTCTTTGTTCTGTCGTTTTCCAACGTATAACTTTAATACAGACGACCAAGCGATGGCGAGTGGAGGCCTTGGAACAGGCGCGAAATGGTGTATGGAGCCACTTGGGTGCAATGACAATGGCTACGGGACAACTCATTTCCTGTCTTCAGACCACTGCACAAACGCCACCGTCTGGAGGTAAGCAACATGTTCTGCAAGAGCACTTTCTGTTTCCCCATTCTCGTCCTCTCTCTTACATCCGAGGTGCAGGGGTTTTCTAGGAGTTCCGTAATACAACAACATATGTTGGGCTTGGACCTTCCACTTCCTTGATCAATACCTGCCGGCAACTCATGTCAGTCGGCTGACTCTGGTAGTTGATCAGGTGGCTGTTGATCCGTTCGCTGGGCTCGGTCAGTGAGCGTATCAACAGCCACCCGATTAACTACTAGTAAATGCACCCAAGCAATCAATATTCCGGCGCATTTCCAGTTGGCCGAGCCATTTGTAGTTCTTTCCACATAGGCCAGTCCGAAAACGATGAGTGATCCGCGCTTAGATTTTTAATAGTTGTATTGACATGCATCTAGCCGGGGTGTGCACCACTCCAAGTCACAGAAAGCGAAACAGCCTTCATTGTCCGGAGAAAAGGTGAAATTTTGCTTTGTGTTCGTGTTAAAGTGACACATTACTATCTGTTTGAAGGAGTAGTGTCTTGCGTAAACGCCACGACATTGGACCACCAATCTTGCACCGTCCATTTCCCTCACATACCAAGCACAGACGGAGAGAAATTGTTTCTTTTGTGCACGATTTCAGCTTGTCGTTATTTTATGACTCTTGCCTGCTCTGTCTACCGGAAGTTCTCACTCAGGTATGCAGATGATGGCTGAAAGAAAATCAACTGTTGCGCTTCATTGTTGTGTCTCCTTCACCCGGCGAGTTGGCCTGCCTTGCCCGGTTTGTCTGGTCGTTTCACTTGGTTCTTCATCTGATATGGTTGCTATGTTGATTGGCTGCTTATATCCAGATCGATATTGCTGTTTATTCTGTACGACTTTCACACAAACTGTGCATTTGATCAGAACTTGATAAGTAGATGCGTGCCTGTTGAAGGAGTGTCTCTTTGACATGATTTGACATCATTCCACGCGGACATTTAATGAATGAAAATCTCACAGTTGGAACCTTTTGGGCTTGGTAAGCTCACTCATCCAAATTTCACCATCCCACGTTACTGCTTACTTCGCAAAACAAGCTTGCTCTCCCGCCGCTTCCATCATACTGGTCTACAGAGTTTCTAACTGTCATTTGTTGTCCCCTTTGAGTCCACTGCTCGGTTACTCGGTCAGTCCAGTATTCACCATCGTAATATTTTACCACAGTTTGTCGTCTTTCTGCTTCACTGTTTATTTTTTTGCTTGCCCGAGTAGCGGTTGTTTGACATGGACAACAACTGATACATGCCTGCATGACTAAAAACACGTAGATGCTTCGCGTATGATTTATTTGCTATGCTGTTGAAGTTGCTTGTGTTTGGTAGTTCCATTGCTTCATCGAGATTTAGCTTGTGTTCGTCCTGAGCCTTGGAACGAATTCCTAATTTCTAGTAGGATGCGGGTAGACTAGTTATTTCGCCTCAACACCCCAGGAATATTCTCTCTCTTGTTGACTTTTGTTGACAAATTGGAGGACATTGAATGATTGGTGCAATGGACTACTAATATTGCTCCTTCATCAACCTCGAGATTTAAACGACTCGACTGCTACTGTCACCACCATCTTTTGTGGAAGATCAAACCTATCCCCACTTTTCCTCTTTTGTTCCCCTTGCCTACCATCGTGAACAATTTTTTGCTCAGGGCCAAATGTTGAGTTTGATTATACCAACATGGATGCCTCGTTAGCGTCGATTGGAATGAACGTACACGGCCTGATGCAGTGTGTTCGTCTGTATGATCAGATTGATTTGGCCAACAGCGACGGAGTAGATGAACATGTTAGTGGATTAAAAGAAGCAGCGCAAGCGTTGTCCGATGCATTTCTCGAACTAATGCGTGCCACAGTACCCACGGCTCGGTCAGAGGGTGATTTAGATAAGGTAAGCTCGCTTCTCACCAGCTTTTCATGGTGTTGCTGCTAACCTAACCCGCCTTTGCCGTAACGATGGTTATTAGCCAAACCTTTTCTGGTTGTTCTATTTTTTCAGGCATCATCTTTGAGTTGGTCATCTAATTCGCTTGCTGAACAACCCCGTTCTGGACCAGACCGTGTTGCACTACTGGAAGCAGCTAGTCGTGTGGGTGACGCGAGTCGTCAACTCCTGCTTTTGATTTCTCAACCGCACGCGATGAATGCTCATGTGGAATCAGTTGACGTGCAAGGCAATGGCCACATCGCCTCCCCTCAGGTTTACCCGTCTGTGATAGACTGGGAAGCCCGTGATCGTCTGCTGTCAGCGACGAAGGCAAGTCCCCACCGTGTTGGCAATTTCGAGTGTCTTTATATGGTCAAGTTCGGTCTCAATTACGGGGTTTGGCCGCTATGAACTCATCTTTACTCCTGATCTCATGTCCCCTTGCTTTTATTTTGTTCAACTTTTCGTTTTAGTGCTTTTTATTTTAGGTCCTCCTATAAGATAGCGAACTTATCCGCAATCATATCTCGTCCCTGATGTGATGCTAAGTTGGAACCAGTTCCTCAGTAAAACCACGTAAACAGCCCGAACTTTGAATTTTGTATCAACAGGATTAACCATGTTGCATTCATTGTGAACGAACCCTGTTCCATGCAGCTGGAATCATAAGTTTTATTTGTTGTGCTCCCAAGATTTCCTACGATTGGTGGTCTGTGCACAGGAAGTAACAGAACGCCTCTGAAGGGCAATTAACACCCGTTACTGATAGTGATAGTGAATTCCTTCTGGGTGAATCTACTGCAGGATTGGAGATTCTATCATCAATGACGAACTCGAGCATAACTCTTTGGGAATGAGTTCCTCTGCATTAATATTGGTCCGGTGAATTTGTCTCCTTCACATTACACGTACCACACCTCAGCGATTTACAGTGTGTCATGCAAATTGTTTTAACAAAGATGGGCTTGTGAAGATCGCTAACCGTATCTTTTAAATCCTTTTCTTACTTTCTGAAAGTTTTGAATATCTTCAACCTGTTCCTAATACTTCTTTATCATGATAATTCAGTAGTAGTAGTAGTAGTAACATTACATGTACCACACCTCAGCGATTTACAGTGTGTCATGCAAATTGTTTTAACAAAGATGGGCTTGTGAAGATCGCTAACCGTATCTTTTAAATCCTTTTCTTACTTTCTGAAAGTTTTGAATATCTTCAACCTGTTCCTAATACTTCTTTATCATGATAATTCAGTAGTAGTAGTAGTAGTAGTAGTAGTAGTAGTAGTAGTAGTAGTAGTAGTAGAATGAGAGTGGCTGAATGAGACGTTTCTCTCTTTTCTCTCATATTCTCCTGTTTCCCGACCACTCATGTTTTTCACCATTACTCCACTCTCGGTTGTTGGGATTCGGAATATTTTTGATCAGAACTCAATCTCGGAATTTGCTGAATATCACTTTGACGAACTGCGCCAATGAAAACACCGGCAAAATTTAAAAAGCCAACCTATTGACCTTGAGTAAAATTTCGATGATATTTCCCGGATCTTTCTCCTCAAAACACGTCAATCACCTGGCCCTACTATTAATGAGTGAATGGACAACCTTTTACTGAGGTCTCCATAGTTTCCTTTTATGACGACCACCAGCCGAGTTTCAATGCCATAAGAGACGCTTGAACCTTTGCATATTCAATGTGCTCGCAAACCGCACGCGATCTTGATCAAGTTAAAAGCAGGTGTACACGTTGGCCAGTCCAACAACTTCACGAAATGGAACGAAAGCTAGGTGTTGATGTTTTGAGAGACCTAAAACACCGCATTGTCCTGTTGTATTATTCTACCATGCTCCCCACTCATGGCAACGAGTGGATACTATTTCATTGTATTCGGCCATAATAATCTCACTTGCGGTACGGTGTTGATAATTTGGTCGTTTCTTAGCTCCAGAAGGCTTCCAATTTGAATACGAACGAGGCAGCTGTAAGAAAGCACCGTCAATTGTCACTGGTCATTCGTCTCGTTCGAAAACGGACAAACAAACGGATAAACAAACGGCCTCATGTATATCTCCTATGCTGAGGGTACAGACGGAGCCATGAAATCACAAGTAATTAGGAGTTTCATAGTAACGAACCGGACATGGAAGTGTTAAACACATTACTCGTGTGCAAACGAAAACAATGTCCGTCAGGTAATGATGGCTTAGGATGTCAAAGTAGCATGTAAAATGAGCGGATTAACACTAGAATGCGGTTATTAAAACTCTAGACACCACAGTAGGGTAGAGACTTCCTCCCCCCGGTTCTGCCAAGTTCATTGCAGGACTGGTGGGTAAAACGCTAACCCAATAAATGGGACCTGAACAATATTGGTAAATCTGGCTATACTTCTCCTTGAAGGACATTGCGTTTTCCAACTCTAGGAGCACATCAAACTGTTGATGGTGAAGACTTTCATGAGAAGCTTAATTTTGTGGCTGGTTATCCCACTGAATAGCACAGATCGTAAGATGCGAGAGGTAAGATACTTTTGGTCGTTCGGCTCAATCGGAAGAACGTCACACAACACTACTCTACTAATATAACGGGGTGCTAACGATCACTAGTGCTAGGATCATAATATCACCGATGAATGGAGTCACATGTATTTTTATCTGCTTGTTCCTGAAGGTACAGTCGTACATCATGTGTCTCAGTTCGCACACGCTTGAGTCGAGCCGATAAGCGCAGAATGGGTTAGTGTCCTCTCACATGCGCCTCTTAGTCTCGTGACACCAAGAAAGTTCTCTCTGGTCTATCCAACTTTATGCTCGTACTCCGTTTTAGACAAAAAACCGGTCATTGTGATAGTCCATGCGTAAAAAAATACCCGAAAGGTCAGATTTGGAACCCCGACTGTGCATTTCGTGGGTATAAGTAATTATGAGGCGAAAGTTAATTCTATTGTTGAGTTTAGTTTGACCTTAGGGAGTGTGCAAACACTGCTTTAGCAGGGAAGTTGCTTAACTACTTTATCATGGGTAATGCTGTGAGTGAAAATATATCTGACAATGACCAACCCAGCAGCTAAAAGGTAGACATAATAGGGAATTCGAATTAAAAGCAAGCCAGTTTTAAAATCACGGGGTATTCAGTCAGCTTCCACCTCAGATGATGAGCATTCCCGAAAAGATTGGCGATTTCGGTTTCAAGTAGTATCCATTCTTTCCTAATCATTGTGCGTGACACTTACATTCCCAATAGACTCAGTCAAAGAAAGTGAAGTCTGAAGCATGAAGGAGCAGGAGAAATTGCATAATAAGAAATATTTGACTTGAGAGCCATTCGGCCATCAAATATAAAGCTAGGTTTCGACGAATACACACATTTGCAGATCAACTTGGTTTTCACGACAGACAGCCGAATTTCCCGTCTATCGTATTCTTCAACTGAATGTGCTGCACAAAAGCTGCCTCATGTTTCAGTCGGTACGGTATTCGAGATATAGTAGTACATTTTTATGAGCCCCAAGAAGGGCGAAACCGGTCGCTGTCGAAGTTTTCAACAACCTTGTGGACAGTTTCCTTTAAGATAAAGCTAGGTTCTTCGTTACATCTCTCCGGATTAGGGAACATCCTTCGGGATCAATATGGGGTGCACAATACTTAGTAGGACCGTTTGCTGCCATGAGTAGAAAAGATGGTGGAATAATCGAACAGGACAATACGGTGCTCTAGGTCTCTCAAAACATCAACACCTAGCTTTCGTTCCATTTCGTGAAGGTGTTGGACTGGCCAACGTGTACACCTGCTTTTCACTTGATCAAGATCGCGTGCGCTTTGCCAGTGCTTTGAATATGCAAAGGTTCTGTTATGGCATCGAAACTCGGCTGGTGGTCGTCCTAAAACGGGACTGTGGAAACCTCAGTAAAAAGTTGTTCATTCACTCATTGAGAGTATGTATGACGTCTGAAATGTCATCGAACTTCCTCTCAACGAGATGAGTCAGTGGACTGGTCGTACAGCTTATTTCACTGGTTTCTCAGTTTTTGCTGTCTCACTCTAGTTGGGGAACAAAAATAGCCAAAATGTAACACTGCTAACGTGCAACTCGAAAGAACCACAATGGTCGCGGTGCTCCTTAATCGCACATGACTAGATGGAAGGAATCGAAAAGCCAGTTCACACGTCTTGGTCAGTAGCTTCTCATCGTAGCTAATTGACAGAATTTTTGCTTAGGATAATATTCTTGCAAACTCTAAGATCGGGTAATGGGTGAGTCGGTCACCCGCTGACCAAAAATTGTTCAACTGAATCTGCCATGTATTGGTTCGATATTTTTGTCTTGAAGTATGCAAATGTGTATGAATGCCGCAGAGTACTTTGTGCGATTAATGAAGTTAATTCATTGTTGTACAGTATGTGTCGTGTTATGCATTGGAGCACTCGGTATTTGTTTGCAGTGCTCCCAGGCAACATTTGTTCGAATGCTGTGTTTTTATTTGACCAATCTTCTGCAATCGAAGGTTACCAGATATTCAGCTGAATTTTTCTATCCGTGGAGTCTTTCGTCGGGAGTAGCGTATAAATCATGCTGGTTGAGTGAATATTTGCACGATTTCACACGGCTTCCTCAGAAGTTGTAGAATCGTACAGATTGTTGGTTAGTTTAGTGGAACAGTTCTAGTTAGATTGTCGTTAACGGTGCTAGAATATGTCATGGTTCGAAGCATGACTGTTAGCGATATACGTTACCAGAATAGCACTTGCTCTCAGCAGGACGACAGACAGCCTTACGGTAAGCTGGGCGTCAGTCATGTGTAGTCGTAGTTCACGATAAGAATTGACTTGGCTTATTGATCCGTGTAGGTTATACGCATGTAATTACATTGTAGTTACGATATGGTGTACATTCTAAGGTGACTCTGTAGCCGGGACACGTAAAAGCTCGCAGGTTTCGCTTTCCTTAGTACGTCTGCTCTCTCCGAACGTCTGAAGATGCTTGCAGCCTCGATTCCAAACAGATGTAATGATCTTTTCGGCAGCCGTTCCAGATGTCCAGGGCTTTTTTTGACCCAGCGATGCATTACAAATGGGGACTATACGAAAACGGCACATTTGTCCCAGTTTATTCCGACCTTTTTCATCTGTGACATATGGGAAATAGGCTATCGTGGCTTACCAGTTTTCTTGCAAACTATGGTTACCCGAACGACTGTTCATTTAGAACTGCAGAGTACCTAATTGATAAGTTAGGTCTGAATCACCAAGCGATCGATGAGGGGGTATATACACAATGGCTGATAGGCAGGCGTACAATCACAAAACGTTCTGTTTATGCCCGTGCTCTCCCCTGGGGTCAAGCAAATGACACTCAGGAACTTACGCTAAGCCGTTTAAATGTTGACTGACAGGACGTAGCTCTGTTGTCGCCGCTTTTTCTGGATATGTGGTAGATGCCACAAGTGTGATTCACATCGTTACCAACCAGCATGGTAGGGGAAAACGTGTAAGATTGTCAAATGCCATGATTCTAATTTATAAGCGCCATGTTACGGGCACGTTTCTATGTTACCGTAGTCCATCAAAATCCGAAAAACACTCGTACTATCTAGTGGCCAACTTCTGAAATCTGTAACCGCATTGGGTTGGTGTTTTTGCAAAAAATCCTGTTTTGGTTGCACGGAGCCAGTGTGAGCTTGGACGTTGAGGTTGGTTGTCACCGTACGCAAACTTTTTATTTTAAGCAACTTCGTCACCAGGTGTTGAATAAGCACGTTTTAGTTAAGGGTCCCTTTACCCAATCCCGATGTGACTTAACACGGTCTTGGTACCACCGGGTGTTCCGTTTCAAACCTGGGTTGGCGCCTTTGGGTGCAACCGAGCATGTGCTGTTGGTCGTTTCGTGTGCAGGACAAGGATACGTGATTGGAACGAACCCACCATACACCTCAAGACGATTGTGAAAACAAGTATGAGGTTCGGAAGATCGTATCCTGCACTTCTGTGGAAAATGCACTTATCGTTACACCACTCTGACAAGAGGGTGCTGCTAGTTTCCGATCAGCTATCCCTTGGTGGAGTTCCAGTAACCGCTTCTTCATTCTTACAGCTGGTGCCTGATCCGATGCTATCACCAGTCAAGTTGGATAGTGGTCAGAGAGGTCGTACTTCGAAGGAACAAGAGCCTATCTGTTGCGGCTTACCTGTGCGCATGTAATTTTATGGAAGGTGTTTCAAGTAGTGGTGTTCCAATGAGGATTGTATTTGCTGTAATCGTGGGATCGAAAGGGGGAACGCATCTAAGCCGACCGTATCAGTCCTAGCAGGCAGCTGACTTTGATCAATGTTAAACATGTAATTTTATGGAAGGTGTTTAAAGTAGTGGTGTTCCAATGAGGGTTGTATTTGCTGCAATCGTGGGATGGAAAGGGGGAACTCATCTAAGCCGACCGTATCAGTCGTAGCAGGCAGCTGACTTTGATCAATGTTAAGCGCAACCGAAGCACATGGCACTACTGGTCGTCCCCTGTGGTTACCGAGGTACATGGTATTTCGGTGCTCTGTGACTCTGCCATGGTGGAATTCTGAGCCTTCTTGGGCCATTAGTCATTGTTAAAACCAACGACCGCTTACTTTAATGTAACCGAGATCTAAGCAGTTATCACTTCCTAGATCGTAGTCATTCCTCATGTCCATAGGCTTTAAATTTGCACTCTTACCGTTTTGTCGTAATGTTCCTCACGCTTGTAGACGGAGTCTTAGCGAGCCCTATTCCCTAATCGTTTCGTGTATATCTGAATCAAAAGATGTTTGCAGTGCTATTGAAAAATTTATTTGAACCAAATTACGTGAAAAAGATAGACAGCTCACTAATTATCATCCAGGAATGGGTTGCTTATACCAGTTACCTGCTTAGTATTTTGCACCAAAGAAGTTATATTTTTCTCCATAACGTAGGCTGTAACCAATCGAATGGCCCAACTAGTTAAGACTGCCAAGCAGGGTGCTTTGGATATTGGACAGGAGGCGGCAGATTTGGCTGCCAAAGACCCAGCCAAAATCTATCCGGATGCAATTCCCATTTTGCGTGCAACCCAAACTCGTCTGGTGCATGCGGCCACTGCGGCTGGCAAGTGTGCAAGTAGGCTGGTCACATGCGCGAAGGTGGTGGTATGCACAATGGAACAACCCGAGTCACAAGATCAGCTGATCTTCACCGCGAAAGAGGTGAGTGCTTGTGTTCTCTGATCATTACGTCTTCCTCTCGTGTTCTCGTGACTGTGGCTTCCACTTTTTTCTGACTTGCGCATAACGTATCAGTCTACAGTCGTCATCTGCAGTTCACTATGGTTTTTCATCTATAAAACTTCTCGGTTAATCAGCTTCGTACCCGTGGTGTTATTCTTACACTGGACTTTACGTCATCGAATCTAGCTTTTCGGATGATCGGCTTCATTCCTTAGACAGCCTACGATCTCTTGATTTTATGCTACGATGCATATCCATAACGTCGCCACAACAAACTGGTCCGTCGGCTCGTTTTAGTAAAGATTCTATCCAGAGGTTCGTTTTTAACTGTTGTACGAACACTGTGCGCATCTTTCGTGCTACTCGGAGGGCTGACGTAACTTTTTTGCCTGACCGTTCACAGGCTGGAGAAATGCCATAATCGGCAAACCCTTTGTCGCGTTGGTATCTGTCGCCATCACGTGACATCCAGTCAGCAGTGACCCTGATAAACATGTACTGTTCGACGTCAAAGCTGTCCTATTCATCGCTCATCTGGTTAAGCAGTCGCTTTCCTTCCTATCGTCAGTGGACGAAGCCCCAGCGGTTGGAATCAACACATGTCCAGTCGGACTTTGTTCGCTTCCGAATTCAACCAGTTGACAAACAGAGTTGGGTCGATACTCTGTGAACGAGACTGTGGTAGTTAGAACATGGTTGATTAGATGAAGCAACTGAACCTGTGTAACTTCAGTGGGGTAGCTCACTAACGGGTGTTCTTATTTGTGAGTCATATAACTTCTCTTTGATGAGGTTGGTCGACATCAGAAATCAGTATAGTGTTAAAGTGTATAAATTTTTGAATACCTAGCACATTTTTGCGTTCTCTGTGGCGAAACAAACAAAATGTTTCTTCGTAGAAAATGACATTTTTCTCTCCACAGAGGGTCACACCGTTCAATAGCTAACCAACTTTAGAGTTGGGGTTTTTTACCCTGCAACCGGTTCATAAGTTCCGTCCCAAAGTGATTCCGTACGGTCAGAGCAAGTTGTTTATCATCCACACTATCATTGGTTAAATAAAACGAACAGTTCTTCGTACACCATCGTAGTAACCCCAAGAATGTTGCCGTTGATTTCATTTGGCGAATCGTGAAATCCTTTTATCTTGAAATGAGCAAGCACTTGAGGACTAAATCTTGGCATACAGAAAAGTGATGAAAACACTTTATTCAAGATGAAGACGGTGGTTACCACTCTGGTGAAACTCCCTACGAACCTGTTTGAAAGATGGAGATTAAGGTGTCCGTAGTCTCAGTCGACAATCAAGCATTGGAACGTTGTCCGGAGAACGATGCATCCAGCAAATTGGCATAAATTTTAACAGCTGAGTTTAGTTCCTTGTAAAAAATGCCACTAGACTTATTGTAGCGTTTCCTCTTAGTGCTTTTCTTGTGGTGATAATGGCATGCCTCTACGTAGGGAGGTAGAGATTCACTAGGCTAGCAGAACGCCATGTCCACTCACTGCTACCGGTGACAAACGTGATTAACCATATGAAAAGACAGCAGCGAAGTTAACCGTTGTGGATCTTCATCAATTTTGGTATGGGATGGGGGAGGGGGGAACGGGCTAACTTTTTAGAGTCTTTACATCAGACACTACAGATCAGAAGCACGCACTCCTTCATAAGCTTTGTGTGTGGTCAACTATATTTATTAGTGTGAGCTTTTTGGCGCGATTTTTGCATGAGTCATGATTTTGGGTTCCCAAACTTTTTACGGATTTTGTTCATTATGCTGGTTGACCTGAGGAACTGAGTCGTCTTTGCGGTAATCTGTCTCACAGGTTGCTATGACTGCTGATAAAGTTGCTATGGCCACAGAGGAGTTAATTCGTGCGTCCAACGAAATTGTCGGCTCCAATTCAACTCTACACGAAGCACACCTTCAGTTGAGCGACGATCTTCACGAGGGTGTGAGTGAGGTTCATTGTGGTCTGGAAGAACTAGTCAGTGGCTTACGAGAAACTTCCATTCAGGTAAGTCATAGTTAACCGCCACACTAACTTTCTAAGCCTATGAGTTTGCTCATGATAATATGCCTGATTGCAATTGTTCGGTATCTGCTGGATACCTGCTGGTGGGGAGAGATTAGTTGCAGGTTGTTCGGAGCTGCCTTTAGAGGATTTTCCGTTTTTTTTTGGGAGCGAGAAATATTAAAACCCCTGAAGCACTAGATCCTCTATCTTAAATTTAATTTCTTTCAGCGCCCTTTTATTCCGTTTGTCCTCTCAGTTCAGCAGATCTTGCACCTTTCACACTCCAAACACCAAAAATAATTTAAATGTGAGTTATTTCCCCTCCTGTCTCCAGTGTTGTTTGCAATCTAAGTTCTTCTCCGATCCCCGTCTGCACCGAATGTAGGGTCATCAAGATCCAACCGTATCGGATTTTCTTTCTGTGGCCCGCCAACTACCGAGCAGCGTTGGAGATGGGATCAACTTGATCAAAAAGGCGACAGCGCTAGCCACAGTCGCTTCCAATCTGATGATGGACCTGCGTGCTGAAGCACAAGTTGAACACAGTCGAACTGGTATGTCCTCAACCGAGGCAAATCGCCGCGCAGATATGCTTGAAGTGGAGATACGACGTCTTTTGGCCACTGCCCAGGTCAGTTAGGGTCTTTTCCACTTCCATTTTACCGATGAATTTGCTTACCCAGTTCGGCGTTCCCTGATAGCTAGAGATGGAGCTGAAGCCAACTGAAAACAATTTTTTAGGCCAATATACTTCGCTCGTACCATATTACGAAGGAGACGACTCACTAAATTTAGAAAGTATATGGTGCCGGATGGCGAATTCAGTTGAAATTAGTCGATTCATTAAAAAATGCTGTCTCATACATAAAATATTCATTGTTATTCCCCAAAAGATGCGGAGGAACCATGTAACAGGTTCACAGTTTTTTCCAGAAAGATGGCGTGAGGTCTCTCAGTCCACAACAGACACGAATTCGCCTGACGGGAGCAATGAAAATCCAAAGCTCCAGTCAGGCGAATTCTAGGCCTGCTTGTCTACAACGAGCTAACTTAGTATGAATGCGTATGCGTAACGCGAGCGTATTTCATGATCCATTATATATCATGCAGGCGTTAAAGCACGGGAGTATTGGACAACAATTTATGCGTGTTCAGAGTCGTCACCGCTACAATATGACTTCATGGGACATTGAGTGGTCAGTAGGTCAACCATTATCTATATACGGTTGATTTCACATGGTTTGCACCCGGGTGTTGAGTGGATACGAAAATCCGTTGAATGACCATAGTGCCTAAGCATCCTTGACTTTTGACTCACTAGTTTGCGAGTTATTCAGTCTGCTAAACTACCTTAATGTAACTGCTATTCATCAACTTTTTATTTAACAGGAATGCGCAGATGGTAATGCTCAGTCACTCGCACACCAGCAAGTGGTCATTGCCGCAGCTGAACAACTGATTCGCGCCGCTCATGCGACGTCAGCACCGATTATTCGCGCGCGACTCACACAAGGCCTGGAATTTGCCACACGAATGACCGCTTCAAATGTCGGACCATTGGTCACTATCGGAGGCGAGGTGATACGAATGTGTCCAGGAAACACACATAAGGTACGTCCACTGACCACCTGTTCACACAACCCTTTGACGCTACCTGTCCAAGTTTTGTTGGTCTGAGCAAACAAACCCTGGACCAGACGTCCAGCTAAGATAAACACTAAACTGATAGCTGTTGGTCTATTCGGTGGACTGGGCAACTCGTTTGGCCCAAATTTCATGTACTTCTCCTCAGTTTTGAAGATTTGTTTATTGCGGCTATGCGTACGGCGAACAACCTAACCAATATGCGATGATTTCTTTAGATGGGACACAGTGGCCGTATTGGTGGGAACAGTCACTACCATTTCCGACTCGGCTAGTCTCCACATACGCCTAAGATGGCAGGACATGAACCCAGAGTGAGGTTCCTCTCTGAATGGCAGACTGTTCTAATGAAAACAAGTGGCATTAGAAAGCAGGCGTAGGCTATTAGGCACTGGATCCATATAGTGCTCTTGGTAAAATGTGATGGTGCGTCTTTCTAACGACCGAGCCCTGCAAGTTGCAAAGTTTGCCGCAATTCATGGGAGTGAATACGGCTTATCCTTGTGTATGCCTAGAACACTGCAATTCTAGCACATATCGGCAGTAGGAGGTGAAGAGATAAACAATCGAACTAAATGATTGGCCGATGCGATTCGACTCCTGCTGTGAAATCTCCAACCGAGCTCTATAGAATGATTCGAATCGTTAATCATTTAGCCCTATCTCTCATGGTGTGACATTCACAATACGGACAGAACGGTATGTTTTTTAGGCCATTTCAGACACAAATCTGGTATATATGGGTGTGGGACGTTCTAACGACTCCGTTGCTTGGTGGGACCATCGGTTTCCACCAGGAATACAGCTGCTTGTTGTAAGCTTTCCACGGACCATAATAAAAATTATTTAGTAATATGGACATCAGCAGCCACGCCGACAAAAGCTCAAAACAAATTCATTGCTAGCGAGTATTTTGATGTGCATACACAAATCCCCCAAAAAGGGTTTCTCTGTAGTTGGGGAATTTCGGCTCTCTTTATGGTTCTCTCCTATCATTGCATAACGTTCCACTTCCTATATGATGCTAGGCATCGTTGGCAGGCTAACAAATGACGATTGTGTGCATCTCACAGTCTACTTTCACATGCTGACCACCATGCAAGCATGAACGTTACGCCCTGGTTACGTGTGTAACCGGATCATGTGATCCGATAGCTGCTTGACTGAAAATTCGCGCTGCGCATAAAGCTGTTTTCCTGACTTCATATGCTTGGGCTGGAGAAAAGACCACTCTGTTTCACTGATTAAGAACTCGATACTGGTCTATCTGTTTGCCAAGGGATCGGTCATCCAAAGAAATTCACATTATCCTTTCAGATTATTTTTATTCGTTTCGTTTGTTCTGCCCCATGATTGCGGCAAAGCTTGCACTCAGGCTAGACTACCATTTTGGTCATCAGCGTTCGGCTTTGTGCTGTAACTTGCCCATCGTATTTGCTTCGTAGTTCCTCTTTGTGTACCTGAACCTTCATGCACTATTGATTTGACTCCATGCGGGCTCCGGTGTTAAATCCGAATTCGCTTTGTTCTAGTGTCAATTTGTAGCTCTGTATAAATCGATTACAGTCATTTAACAGCAGCTGAGCATCATTGTTATTGTTAATAATTATGAAGATGCGCCTATATGCTCCTGGCCTTTCACTCTTCCCCGTTCAGCTTGCGGACAATTTAGAGCAACTACAGAAACGCGTTATGCCTCAAGTTAACTTATCTTGTTCGGACGCACGTGAAGAACCATACAACAATCGCACACAAGCAAACCTGTTGACCGCATCGCAGAACCTGATGCAGGTGAGTGCTTTCTTTCGAGAGTCTTGGATTTATAATTTTTTTTGCATGATTTTGCCCCGAACTTGTTTCTTTAATCGGACGTCTTGGTTTCTGCGTTGTTGTAATTTTAAGGCAGTTTCCTCAAGCAATGCTATACTGTTATTAGTGGCATTATTGCTGTTACTATCACTGGCTAAATACATTCTCCGTATGTTGCACAGTGCTTTCTCCCGCTACGGTTCTGTCCACCAATGTGGGAAGTCGGAGTGGATAGCCGCGCCACGAACGTGATGGCTAGTATCGTTTCACGTTGAATCCAGAAATATTGATAGTCGTTTGTTGGTGGGGGTTGGAAGTAGAAGATATTCACTGAAGACAATAGCTTGGATGCTCGCATCTAGACCTTGATGAGCCCAGTCTTGAGGTCACAGGTAGCACGTGCTACCGTGCTCAGGGGACGTGTCCATATGTTTCTGTATACAACTATCTTGTGTTTCAGATGTCTGCACTTTACCTGTAGTGTGATCCGAGAAGCCTGGTTACCGAGGGTCTAAACGTAAGGTTTGCCTGGAACAAGGAAGTGTTTCTGCGAAGTATTAAAGCACAACTCTCACAGACTAAAAGGGAATAGAAGAATCAAAATCTCACCGGCTGTGCTTTTCGGTTGACATCCTAACCTTGTATGGTAGTTTCTTCTCCTCTGCTTGACGGTCTTATTGTTTACAATCCCACTACTTGTTTGTTCGATTCTCTACTCACCTGTTCAGGGGATTTGCGGGACACATGAACCCAACATAAAGGGACTCATTGTATAAACTGCCGGAACGGTGCAATTCTGTATGTATGTCGTTGCTTTGTGCATGTTTGAAGGCCTACTGCGTGGCAATGGTGCTACCCATATCCCTTCACGAATAGACTGGTATTTTGGTACGGATTTGCTGAGTCCGTAACTGGCACCTTAAACTGGGTAGTTTTCATAAAAGTCTCCCGCATTCGTTGGCTGAAACGGAACGTGTAGTACATGGCCTAACCCGACGCCGAGAATGGTATCTTTGTGAGGTTTGCGCGGCTTCCCCTGTCTTGGACAACCTGGCACTATCCCAACTCCTTCGAGTGGCATGGCAGCTAGGCACCGAAAGGGTGTTACAGCTGAACGAACGAATCAAGTTTTGCGTGAAACTACTGACCTGTAGGTTAGGCTGCTATCATTGTAAGTATGGGTCACCCTATACGCATGGCGGCTTAGTGGAACCAATGTTGCTTCACCGGTTGCTCATCTTGTTCTTTTGTACACTCAGTGTCTTGAAGAATTGTTGCGAATCACTGATGCTGTGGTGCCAACCATTCCCGAAAGGGTGTACAGCTGAACGAACGAATCAAGTTTTGCGTGAAACTACTGACCTGTAGGTTAGGCTGCTATCATTGTAAGTATGGGTCACCCTATACGCATGGCGGCTTAGTGGAACCAATGTTGCTTCACCGGTTGCTCATCTTGTTCTTTTGTACACTCAGTGTCTTGAAGAATTGTTGCGAATCACTGATGCTGTGGTGCCAACCATTCCCGATCCTGGTATTCAAAATGCCTTCAGTGGTGCTGCAAGGAACACACAAGCCTGTCTTACTGACCTTCGGTTATGTTACGGCAATTCCGAACAGCTTCTAGGTTCTGAACCACCTGAGTTTGAGCCAGCACCTGTGAGTTCAGCCGAAGAGAAGTCGAACCAAGCAGCTGCTACTCGAGATTCTGAACTTTGGCTCAACACCATGTCGAAATGCAATCAGAGAATAGATAACCTCACCGCAGAACTACGTTCCAACACTTCCCGACTGCTTCCGGATGAGTCTGTGAGTAGCGCCATTCCGCTATCTTACGTCCAACATTCTTTACATACCACTGTCACAACTCTAACATGATAACTATCTTTCTCCTTCTCAGTTGGACTCGATTTGTGTCGCTCTTTGTGATTCGGTTACTCGTTTCAACGGAACTTTTCCACCCGTGGACTGCAGTCGGTTAGCCGATGGGGACAGACATGGTTGGTCCAAGTTACCCTCTTTCATAGAGCGTGTCATTCAAGCCGGGAGTAAGCATGATCTGAACCAAACGGCATTCATCGTGGCTGAACTCTTGGAGCGTGTGACACCATTAATCCATGGTCTCCGAGGTCTTGTCGCTTTCCTCACCATCGCAGCCAACGCTCGTTCACTGGATCCCAGTACGTTACATGATTTCTTTTTTTTACTTGAATTCTGTGTTTCACATCACAACGAAGCTTAACTTTTGGTTGCGCTACTTGCTCACTGCTCCAAACGCCTTGCCTGTTTATCCATCTAAACTGTGACTTATGTATGCATCCGACCACATCATAGCGTTTCCCGATGAGGGCAGTATAACGTTAGCTTGTGTTCAGTCAATATATGTTGTAGAGACCAAGATAACGACCGCACTCTGTGTTTTGGTTCATTTTTTTCTCCATCATAAGTCAGTACTCTCTCAGCACGTCAGCCATATGCCTAAGCGGTGCCATGTCTGAACAGTTATCCTTTTATCGTTTTGAGATCAGCTCATGAAGTACTAGAATATTTTTGTTAGTCATTACCACCACACAAGTTTGGGTTGTAGCAAGTGACTTGTATCTAATAGCCATTCGGCCGGAGTGGTTTTTTGGTCAGTGTTCCCATTTTTGGCAGTATGATTTCTCCTAGTAGACTGTTGCGGTGTGAAGAATTGACCATTTTCAAATTGGAACACGTCATCTGCATGGTCTGAAGCATCCACACGGGAGATGGTGGATTTTGAACCATTTAAACCACGTGTGTCCATGGCTAACCAACCATATAATAAACGAAATAGTGGATTCTCTTGTGCTTCGAGGGCCGATAGATAACGAAGCTTTTTGTAGGTTTGAGATTTTGGAGTTCGATTTGTGTGTAACTAATGGTCGCGGATTCCAGTATCGATACCTGTCATGCGCACTGCTGTTGCTGCTCAGGAAACAGCTCTATCTTGTGTCAGCCTTCCAGCACAGACTGACTTTACTTGCAGGTTTAGAAACAAGGTACCTGTTGCAGCTGAGCCTACTGGGTGTATGCCAGAAATAATGGAGATTGGTTGTGCAGGAGTCGCAGAACGCGAGAAAGCGAGTGGCAACTCCTTCAGAAATTAGAACTGCCTGAAATAATCGGCTCTAGGAATATCTAACCGGACAAGAAACAATGTGAAATTGGTGGTGTAGGATAAAATTATTAGGTTTAGCTTAACAGTTTGAATGGTGGCTAATACATATTGGGTCTGAGAAACGAGGGCGAGAGTGAGAGTACCACGTGAGACGATAGTAATTGGAACCTGAAATTACAATACTTGTTTTGTTTTGATTAGAACTATCAGTTTGAGATGGCAGTTCTTCTCGATTTCTTGACTCTTAAGGGTCAAGTTGATTTGGGTGCGACCAAGGACCAAAATGTGTCTGCCGCAACTGCTCATTATTACGTTGTTGACGCTTTTGGTTCATGGCTATTTGAACCGTGATTGCCTCAAACCCCAACTCAGAGACTTGAAGTAGCAGGTCACACCTGGCTCCTGTAAGAAAGGTAGTAGTACAACCCCAGGCTACGGTTTTGGCCATCCGTCTGATTCAGTCATTTTAGATTGTTCTTCGCTTCCCATACTCCCTGTATTTACAACGTTTTTGGAGCCCATTCTCTGATCTTGCTTATTATGTTGTGCCGTTTTTGTCATCTGTTCCTTGTTGACGCTATGATTCGGCATGCATACACGGTATAGAAAGATTCTTCTGACATGTTCTGTATTCGTGGGGCTCGGTGTATCTTTCTCTGTTGTGAAAAGCCTCCTGTTCATAACTTGGAAAAAGAGAATGAAATACGATCCGGTCAGTGCGGTTTATTTTCCGTCTCATGTTTGTTTTGAGAGACGTTAGTAACAGCCAATGCTCTTATTCATTCCACGTATTGCGCACTCCTGTATCGCCATGGTCACTTTATGTGGTTGGCCATCATTGATTGTGAATTGGCGATCAGTCTATACACGAGGCACCTGACTAAATTCAATCCGACTATTTGACTTTTTTCGAATTCAGTGCCTCGACTCAAAAAACTAATGTGATACTATCGCGTTCTGAATGAAATCACTTTGCATTTATTTTGAGTCAACTTATCATTTTGGTGGAGGGAAAATCAAGGTTATCAATAAACAAGAACGTTGTAGAGTTTATTGGTTAGTACAGTTTCTTTGATATCACTATGTGTACCCTTTTCTTATCAATTCCAATTAGGATGATATAAGGATAGAACACTTGGAGCTTGCATCTAACACTCTCCAGTTTCTTGTTTTTTTCTACTTGCTGTAGACTTAGCTCGAGTCCTACTCGTTTCACATGGATTGTCGGCCAAAAGGCAAAGCAGCATCTCGGGGTCTTCTGGACCTGTAGATCACCTAACCTCAAGTGGCAGTCAAGAGGAGCAAGCTCAAGCAACTTGCGGGGCGATGCTTGAACACCTGCTGTCCATTGGAGAAACGTGTCTGAATGATACGCGTCAACTGGTTAACTGGGCGATGCGACGACAGTCAATCGAACCAGGAAGCGAAGAGACACGTCAGGCTGCAGTTTTGGCTGAACAGGTAGATTCATTTTGAGGTACTCTTCTTTGGATCATAGCTCTTTTCCTCCTAATGACCAGCCACTGGGTAAGAAAGCTGCACGAGGCTGTTGGTTCATAATGTATGTATGAAAACCTTATTATCCGGATCTTTGTAGTCCCCATTCTGAGGGGAGCAACACATGGACCGTGGAGTGCTATCCTCAATTAGTACAGGTGGAGTAGATCTCAATACTCCACAACACTCATCACACTGCATGCCCATCAGTCAGTTGTTTCTGTTTCATCGCTTTTATAGGTTGGACGGTTTATCCTCCCATCTTTGATCCGTAGGGATATTACTCGTATTGGTTGAGTTCGACCCTCCGGAAAAATAACTTTCTTAGCCTCAATCTTAACTCAGTTAAAGTTTGAAAAGTTTGCCACTGATCGTAACTGTGTCTATATAGTTGGCAAGACGAACTTGACATGAGTGTTGATTCTGCTGATCAAGTACGCCATATGATCATCCGCGATTAGCTTATAGCCTTTGCTGTAGAACACAGTGTACCTTCTTGAACGGTTTATAATTGATTCTTGTTGCTTTTCACGATGCTATGTATGTGCTTCGTTCGACGAACACTGCATGCATGAGTCAAGGACAGGTCGCGCAATCTTCACAATATTTGTACCGAATTTTTCCATGTATTGTCGCTTTCCTTGGTTTCTGTTGGATTTGATGTTGAATCGAGCCTTTAAATGCAACAACGCAAGTACGAGAGCACCACAGAATAAATCATTCCTTCTTCTGCATGCTCTGACATATCTGTGATAAGTGATTCTAACTGCCAACGTAATGTGACAGTTAAAAATGGATCATGCCATCCTCATCTGTGTGCACGCCGGAAGTCACTTATTCAGATGATCTACTGATTTCATGACTGTGACAGGCTCACAGTTAAGTGAGTCGTCCAAGATGATGACAGCAGTGTTTTACACTATTCCGATACGTGGATGGAAGTTCGAAAATCCTCATTGAGTACCGAGACTGTGACCTCTCACTGCTTGGATTCATGAGCGATCGGCTCTGTTCCTGCTAGTATGCATATTTTTCTGTCGTTTTATCGTTTCTTTCTTTCTCCACCAAATCCTATCTCCATTTTCTCCTCAGATTGCCACTTCTGTGAATGCGGTGTTGGGTTACGTCCCAGGTGAAGTAATTGTCCGACGTCTATTTGCCTTGTTGGATGATGTGAACCGTAACATTCAATGTGAACCACACGGTCGTGCCTTGGGTGGTCAGCTGACTGGACATTCAGGAAGTTCAAATGAGATTGCCCCTGAATTGCCACGGCGCCAAATATTCTCTCGTGAATCGAGCGAAGACCTGTACACGAAACTGGCTACAGCAGCACGCCGTCTGGCCAGGGTAAGTCCATTTCTGTTTTCAGCGTCATGCGTAACCAACGTGCTTCGGATTCCGCAACCTGCCTCATCTCGCTCATTTCACTTTGTTTAGCTTTATTGTTTGCAGTTTCCAGGCACTTTTACTTAACTCGAATATTTTAGCTCTCCAGCGGAACAGAGCTTCCAGTGAGATCAGGTAGCTTCCGATTACCCAACATAGAGGCCAGAATCGTGCGATAAATTGATTATTTCCAGCTGCATTTATTCACGATTACAAGTATATTCTCACTCGTTCGGACTTACGTGTCCATCAAATTATCCCTACTGATATTCTTTTGGATGTCATTTTTGGTTGGCTTGCAGGTTTGTCAGGATTCCACATCTGTCCTATCAAATGCAGCGAAAGCCACTGGTGATCCACACCAAGTCGGGGGTGATAGCCAACTTGTACAACTCGCATATACGGCCGATCGTATTACGACTAGTTTAGCGGAAGTCGTGCGTGCTGCCGGTGTGCGGGGCATTCCTATGGAGACCACTGGGAATCTTCTAGATGGGCTTACTCAGACCGGTTATCCCGTTGCTGGTGGACTACGCTATGCAATGCGCACGCTAGATACAGGAGGTCTACAAAGGCCCGTAGAGTATGATCAGTCGACGCCGGAAGTTTCACTCTATACGGCAGTTTTGTGAGTCCCGTGTTGTTTTTCTTTGTTTCTTCGCTTGAACAAAACACTTGTGGTGTAGCTATTCTCGTCAGTCTGACTACAGCTGCAGGTAAATGCGAAGCCTACGTTTTCATTCGCCATTTTATTGCCGATCGGACACGGCACTAGATTTTCTGACTAGTGCCCTCCTAGACAGGACACAACCAGCACACGGACATCTCGGCTTTCCTGCAAGGTGCCTTATTCAGGGAGAGATGATTCACAATCAATCGTAGCTGACTGTAACGCTATTTCGGCCTACCTTAAAGAGATCGCTATCTTAATTATCACTTCCAGTGTTTTTGATGGAGTCATGAGCGTTCCATTCGGGACCTGTTCTTAGGTAGGTTATATATATATATA